GGCCTCGCTGTTTCCGGCGCCGGCTCCCCCGCCCGGCGAGGACGCGGCCCTGGCGCTGCACGCGCAGCGCTCCGTCCCGCGGGAACGGGCGCGAGAGGCGGCTTCGCTGCCCGCTCAGGAGTTATTTCTTAATAGGAATTAACACTAAGTTACCGAGGCTCGCCAGATGCACTGCAGGACGCCCGTGACCCTGCCCTTCAGATAACCTTCTTCAAGCGTGTGCATGTCCCGTGCGCTAAAAACTGAAGTTCAGAGTTCTCCGGACATCCTCGATGCTTAGTAAGTCCGGCCGGCCTGGTGGTCGTGACGCTCCTAAGTCCAGACCTACACGTGCCGAAAACGAGGGACGCAGGGAACGAAGAGCACCTTCCGGCTGCAGCTCAGGGCTCCGTCTACACGCGGAGCCTTCCCTGGCGGCCAGGCTGTTACCCGGGCCGGCGCATTAGCAGTCACAGAACGTTCACGCGTGACTTACTCGGGGGGGGGGTCCTTCCTTACACCGGCACAGTGTAATTTTTGTTTCCCCTTTTGTCTTCTTGAGACAGGGTCTCACTATGCAGCTCAGGCTGGCCTCCAACTCACTTTGTAGCCCAGGATGGTTTTGAAGACAGAACGATCCTCCTGCTTCAGCCTCCCGAGTGCTGGGATTACAGGCTTGAGCCACCACGTCCGGCCAAGCACAGTGTAATTTTGAACAAGAGCTTCTGAGGCCAGTAGTCTCGCTGCAGACTTACTGTTTCTAACCTATATGGTGATGTAGATGAGGGATCCAATTCCTTCAAGTACAGGTTTTCAAATTAAAAAGTAACCTTAGCATGCTTCGTAACATTCGTATGTGCGTGTTTGGAAAGCAAAATATATTTGAATATGCCCACTGACAGACACCCATGTTATGCTGATCTTAACCATTTTAAACACGTGCGAATGGTACTTCTGCCTGGCACGTCAAATACTTGCAGTTAGTATTTGTGTGCGTGCGCATGTATAACCGACTTGCAGTGCTTCCCTGACAGCGTAACGTTCGCTGTCACGTTCACTGCATTACAGGGCCGCTACACTCACTACACACTGCCTGCTAACTCACTGTACAATGAATCACAGTATCCCTTCCAAAGCCAATTCATTTGTCCTAATGGCAAAGATTTTTCTTTTTTGGTACCGGAAATCAAACTCGACCTCGTGCTTGCCACGCGGGCGCGATGCCACTGAGCTATACTCCCGGCTGTAGCTAAGATTTTTAAACAGCTATGAAACAGTTGTTTGGCCCTAAGTATAGAGATTTGCTAGAGTAATAAAATTTCCAACTACTTTTAGTCAGGCCATGATACTACTTTATCAGATTATTTCCACAGATGTTTTTGAGTGCTAACACGAGTCTACGCAGAACCCATACATAACGTGCTGCCCATGATGAGCTCATTTCCCTGTATCTGTAATACCCACAATCTAAGTGTCCTTCAGAGGTGACCACTGCCAGCTAATCCTTTAACTTCACCTCAGCAGGAGAATTGCAACAGCTTTGTAGCTTTTCTTATTTGATTTCCCATACTCTGTCTGGCTTACAACTGCAAGTTCATCTCCCTTTCAGAACTTATTAAAAATAAGCTTTAATTTATTCTGCTTGGCTTTTAAGGAATCTCATGATCAGACCTCAATCCCTCACAGCCATTGATGGTTTCACGTAGCTCCAAGACGCACTCTTTCCTCATCTTGCAGGTAACACTTTCTCAGATTATCTTTGCCTGAAATGTAATGTGATGCCCATCCGCTTCACAGATCTGCCTACCACTAAGGTTCATTTTAAGTTGTCTCCACAATGAGCCTTGTTCGTTGCTTTTCCTTCTGAATATTAAGAGCAATATTAACCTGCCCGTGTATTAATCTCTACTTCTTTCACTGTACTTTGCACACCTGTTAAAGATCTGTGTCCCTTGAAAAACTTGATTATATAGTCTTATATTTGGTATTGAGTATGTGGTATCCTCCACTACTTATAGCAAGCACCTGAGAGTCGCTGATGACTTGTCACATTATTATGAGGGCACACTAGATTCTTAATACTTGGTAGTTGTCCAGTAAAAGGCAAGAACTGTTTTCTACTATGGGAAGGTAAAAGTTTTCTGCCCACTTCTTGAATCGTGTGTGCCAAGTGTGTTTTGTTCATGTTACTAAAACTTGCTGTATTCTACACACCATGCTTTGTAACTTTTTTAATTCTAAAAAACAACTGTGTTAAAAGCCATTAAAAACTACATTTAATAGATGAAAAACCAAAAAGGTTAAGTAATCTTGCGCTGGTCACCTATTTAGTAAGAGCCGAGATTTGAAGTTTTAAAAGTCTGACCCCAAACTCGCAGCTCTTACTATGTTACTACTTATACACTGCAGCCTCTTAAAAAAAAAAAAAATTAGATAAGGCGTTTAAAACTCAACATGTTTCAAACTTGAACTAATAATGAAGATCCAATGCAGCTCATAGGGTGGTCAGTTATTAGAGAAATCTTTTTCCTAGTATTGGAAGTTTTTTTATAATATTCAAGTGTGTTTGTCCCAACTGCTCATTCATATAGTAATTGCCTCCAAAGTATTTTTGATTTTTTGGGGGGGTGGGGGTTTGCTTTGTTTTTGTCTTTTTAAGACAGAGTCTCGCTCTGCAGTTCAGGCTGGCCTTGAGCTCACTTCGTAGCCTAGGCTCGTCTTGAACTTGCAATGATCCTCCTGCCTCAGCCTCCCGAGTGTTGGGATTACAGGCGCGAGCCACTGTGCCTGATTTTTGATTTATTTTCATAAGGGCTAGATTTTAATGGGGTGGGAACAATTTTTGTAAAACACGCAACTAGCATGTTGTAGTACAACCAGTTCTGAAGCAATTCATGGGGAATCACCAAGACTTTAGGTGTGTGATTCTAACCTCTGACTTCTATTATATAGCAACTTCCTTATAAAACTGTGAGAATGAAAAAAAGTCACATAGGTAAAACCCTGGCCTACAAATACTAGGTACTCCAGAAATAGTTATTAAAATTAGGAATTAGACATGCACCAAGTTCCTATGAGCAATGTGATCATTACATACTACAAACATTATATATATATATATTTCTCCAAGAGATGTAGGGGATAAAAAAGAACATATGTGATGTACATTTAGCAGTTTCCCACGATGAATGTAATCTTACGTATTGCAAACATGCACCAATAAAAAAAAAATTTTTTTAAAAAGAGTTAATTCTATTCCAAGACAGAAAAAAAATCAGGAATTAGAAACATTACCATGCAATACACACTTAAGTAACATTGGAATTTTTGTTTTATGCTTCTATTATACTTCTGAAAAACGGAATTGATTGACTGATTGCCTAAGACAGGTTCCATGTTGTCCAGGAAGGTCTGAAATTCCTGGGCTCAAGTGAGCCTCCTCCCTCAGCCTCCTGAGCAGCTGGGGGTGCAAGTGCATGCCTGGCTAAAAAAGAAATGTTCAGGGGCTGGGGATTTAGCTCAGCGGCACAGCGCCTGCCTGGCAAAGGCCAGGTCGTGAGCTCGATCCCCGGTACCGGAAAAAAAAATAAAATAAAATAAAAATAAAAAAAAAGAAATGTTCAAATGAATTTTGTGAGGTGCAGGGACCATATGGCACTCATACAGATAGGCAGTCTCAAAACAGCTTCATCAAATTAAAGGCACATCATATGCTTAGCACATGTGAGGCCCTAGATTTCATCCTCAGCACCCACAAAAAGTCTAACGTACATTTTTTACTTGACCTAGAATTTCTACTTAAAGTTCCAAGCAGACTTTCTTTTCAAAGTAACTGTATTGAGATATTTCATGCCTTTCTGACTGTATATTCTTTTATTTTTTCCAGTTTATATGTTAATAGTTTTAACAAAGCTCTCAAAAACATTTCTCAATTTTTGCCCCAAACTGACCATATCTATAAAGCTGTCTTACACATATTTGAATTGCTATGTATAAAGTTTTTAAACAGAGTCAGGTGATGTAGGGTGTCAATAATGTTTTACATCTAACGGGGATGAGAAAACCACACAAGTATATTAACAATTAGTCACTGATCAGATCTGAAGGGAAATTATCAAAGAGATTATAACTTTAAGTTCTAATGAGAAAACTAGTACTGCTGAACATAATTAAAACCTAGAATCATGCTTAGTGCTAACTGTAAAGCAAATTAAGGTTCTATATAATTACAGTTACTACTATGTAGCTTGAGTTAAAAAAAAAGAAATGTGAGTTTGAGACCAAGAGACTTTCATGATTGTAATACATGACTGATACATCTCAACAACATAAAAATTGTAAGGAGAAAATATAACAACAATGGTACTACTTTCAAGAACTGTGTTGGGAGCTAAAAAGAATCTCACAAAATTAGATAAATATATCCAGTCTGACATAAACACCATATGGTAACCGCTTTAAGAGACAAGAACTGTATGTTATGTGTTAAAATTATGACACAGAGGTAGTAAAAGCCAGAAAGCAAGCAAAATTTGCAGTTTGGTGTAAAGCTTAGTATTTTTTCTAGATGAGAAGAATTAAGAGTGCAATATTATAGCTTTGGAATTTTTCTCCTTTCTAGTAAAACTTCACAGAAAGAAGTACTTTTTATCATTGGTAATGGTTTTTCAAATAATGGCACAGTATGGGTGCCCTATTGAATTTTAGTTTAAAATAAAACAAACTACATTTGCAGCAACTGTAAATGCAGTAATTTTCTTTTTCTTACCTGAGAGGCTATAATTAATCCCTTAGTATAATTAGGAATGTTTCATTTGACCTTTGTGTCACCATAAGCAACAAGGACACGGAAACCAAACATATTCTAGAAAGACTCTGAAATAAGAATAACATTCTAGGTCTTACATCAAAATCACTGTTTTGCAATACAAAAACAGCAATCGATGACAGACGCAGTATGTTACCCTAAAGTTTTTGAAAGTAGGCAGTGAAAATATTACAAATCAGTAATATTTACGTAAGTCTAAAACAGTTTAAAGCACTTGCTTCCACAATCAAAAGAACCCACCTTCAAGGACAAAAAAAAAAAAAAAAAAAAAAAAAAAAATCACGTAATTTAGATTTTAATTACATGAATTCATGTGATTTAGATTTTCTCTTTTGAGAAAAGTGGTATCATGACTCTATGCACGTCACAGCAAAGACAGGAGGTTCCGAGTGTAGCTGTTGAGTCTATCACATTTATAGCAGTCCCATGTTGTGAGCATCTTGGCTGCTGAAGCCTGTGGATTCAGAAAGACAGCGGGAGCTGCCCTCACAGATCACTTCAACTTGTTCCACTGTTTCAAACGGCCAGGGAATTTCACCTTTGCAAAAAGGCAACAGCACCCAAAGTGGAAGGCATCCCCGAATCTCATTCACGAGGGAGGCAGTGGTCGGCTGTGGTTCTACCATGACCCGCTCTGCTGCTCACGATCCAGGAGTAGGTGAAGTCAGAGGAGAACTGAACGAGAAGAAGCAGAGGACGGAAGGGGAATAAAACGAGGAAAAATAAGCAGAAACCAAGAGAGTAAACATGCAATTAAAAAAAATTAACCGCAGGAAGAAAGTGATGGCCAGGAAGAAGGAAGACATAGTCAAAATCTTTCTTATGATACAGTAATAAGTTTATCAAATGACCTGAATAATTATATTAACAATGTCATTGTGAAATCAATTCCAAACTCAAATTCTGCATTTTCCCTCTGAAGAATTAGTTATTATCATCTCTATTTTAGAAACACACAGAGGCTTTGAAAACTGAACATGCTGCAAGTTAAAAGGCAGAAGAGCGGTCGCCCCTGCTTTACCTCCGTCAAGGTTACTGAGTAGTCGTATTCGAAAAGGGCGCCCCATCCGGTCTCTTCAAAACTCAACACTGACGGTACAGTCAAAATCACGGGATCTGTAAGAAGTTCACCTAACTCCTCTAGGTGGTTTGTACATAATTCAGGACACAGAGACATTAGCTTTCTTTCTCACACTATAAAAAATTTTCATTCAAAATGAAAGCACCACTTTACTTTCCAGAGGTATAAAAACTTTAATTCAAATGATCATGAAGTATTAGAAACTATTTACCCCCATATGTACGGTAGAAACACACTGTGTTGTATAAACTCCTGTTCTTCTCATGAATGGCAATTTTAAAAAGGTAAAATCCACTCTGATAATGTAGGTAAATACAACTCATCAATACTAACCATAGTAAAATGTAGTACTTTATACAAGGTAAGTGTGTGTCAAAACTGCCAAATGTAAGTAGAAATCTAAGGAATGTATTAGGCCGCTGGTAATACTTTTAAAGAACCATTTTTGTCGATATCTGTAGTAGTTTTCTATAAGAAAGTATAATCCACAATATTCCAAGCCTAAACATTTTGATCCATTTTTGAGCTTTTAAACTCCTAGTTAACTGCAGGCAGGCTGGTTCCTGAAAGTATTCTGCTTGGCTAAGCAGACTTCATCGATAGCAGGATTTAGCTGTCCATCTGCATTACTCTATAATTAGAGAGGATATATTCCGTCATTATACAACAGCTACCTAACCCTTCTTTAGTATGAATGTAATAATCATTTCCTAATGGGGACACTTTCAAGTTGTTCTCTAGAAAACTTCAATAATTTATGCTACTTATTCTGTTTCTTAACTGACCTCCTGACCAAAGATTCCCTGGAACTAGTGATGCCAAACTGTGACAATGCACAAAATACTCCTCGGGTGGTATCAGGAAGGGTAAACAGCACAGGTGTTACTAGCCTGCTCTCTAAAATGAACGCCATTTTCCAAGATAAATTATAGACACAGAACTGCTCATATCTTCTTTCTGATGTTACATATGATGTAAAGAATTTGGTAAGAGTTGATTCGATAACCACAGAGAGGAAAAACAGGTAGTAACACAGATGTTAGATATGAATGTAATAACACTAAAAACCACACCCCAAATGAAAAGCAGTTTTAAGCTAGACTTTTCAGCACTTTTTTTTCTTCTGCCATTTAATGCCTAGTAAATGAATACAGTAAAATTAATACAACTTGAAAACTAGTTATAAAGAAATACTAAATAAGACACTAAAAATGATCTTTTCTTTCTTGGCAGTGATAGCGCTACTGAAAACGGAAACATAATCCATGCAAGTTAACCATTAGCTTGTTACCTTCAGAATGGACGAAAGAGAAAAGGATCTTCGTCATCCAACTGTTGGCACAGGTCTATTGTCCAACCACCCACGACACATACATACCACAAGCGACAAAAAGTGGTCATGCCAAGCGTAAATCTCTTCGACTTTTCTCAAGTGTACCAAGGACACAACTGCTCCTGCTCAAGGACTAGTTATGGACTCCGATGTGCAGAAATAACACACCTTTGAAATCTTCCTTTTCAATCTCCCAGCACTTACTAATTTCACAGAACACAGTTCTACTTAGTGAAGAACTCAACTCATACTAACAAACCATGGGGAATGTGTTAACTTTTCTAGAAGAGGCATATTTTAGAAAACAACCTAGAAGAATGCTTGATTCAAGGGCATATATTGCCAGTAGCGGCTCCTGGAGAATGTGGAAGATATTCTGGGAAGAAAGCCTGTTAGTTTTTGAACCCTGGGGAGAGCCTACTTACTTAGCGAGACACCTTTGATTACTGTATAACACATTCACCACACCCATGTTTTGAAGTATAAGGCATGATCCTGGTACTAAAAACAAATACAGTATTAGTTCAAAATCTATAATGTATATTGTATATCCTTGACTCATACTTGACCTTCATTGGAAAAATAATCATTCTAATTGCAATTAATCCCTTATTTCTCATGAAGAGACATATTATTACTTCATGTATATTCATGGCAATACTTTAAACATGTTATTGAGATGGTATATAGTTCTTATTATATTTCAAGACTTTATCATATCTGTATTTTTCAAGTCCCCAATTTAACATATCCACAGAAAATACACTAAATATACACCTTGAGTAACTTGTTACAAGTGTAAGGAGACCGCTAACAGCAGACTGTATGAAATGACATATTCTACCTTGGTCCTAGGTGAGAATAATAAAGTAGAAATTCATGGATTCAAGTAAATAAAATATCTCAAAAAAGGCATTACTGTATGGCTACAGATAATAGTACAAATTCAATAATTACACAATTACAATATCCACAAAACTACCTCATTTGTTACTCAATTTTAATAGCTTCTTATAATTTTATGATTATTCTGAAGAGGCTGAAATTTATAAATACTATTAAAATCAGAAGCCCTCTAACACATTAAAATAATATCAATGCCATTATGATTTCTTAGGAAAAAAAAAAAATCAATGTTTTAAACATCTTCATGTCTCCACATAAGTGATACGAAAATTTAACTGAGAAGAAAAATATAATAGCACAATCCATTAAATAGAAAATATAGTCAGCTAGATCAATGTCAGTTCTTTTAAAGAAACAAGTTAATACACTCAATAGCACATTTCTTCTCCACTCAAATAGGAAAGTGAAACAAAATTAGCATTTTACTCCATGACAGCAGGCTTACTGCACTTCTAAATGCTCGAGTATCTCCAAAGGTACACCTGTCATTTTTTTAAACATACATACATACATATGTACACACACACACACACACACACACACCTTTACACTTGTGGGACAGTGTAGTTATTTTTCTTCTTGAGAAGGCATTACAAAATGAAGCACAGAAATCAAAGAAACCTCACAGGTGAAATTTTAGGACATCTGAAATCATCTTGCCTGGGTTATAAGTCAAAGACAATGACAAGTTCACAAGGAAAAAAATCAGTAGAAATATAAAATACGAAAAGTCTTCAAAATTCAGACAGTAAATATAAAAACAGACTGAAGCGAAAGCTGGAAGAGATATTCAAAGAAATGAGGTATGGTGGAGTCAGTGCTACAATATGTTTCAATGTACTCAGCTAGTAACTCATATTTCCAAGTTAGATTCAAAAATTAGCAAATTATAAACTATCTGCTGCTGTGTTCACATGACCTTTCTGGTCCAATGTTTAATGATCACTGATGACAATTAAAATAAGCAGGAAAGTAACTGATTACATGGTCAGCTAACCTGCACATAAGAAGGCAAATTATAAGTAAAAAATGTAACCAAGCAATTTTGTATTAATAATAAATACAGCTTCAAGCATTTAACATTATCAATATTTTAAAAATTTAAACAATAAATGCAACTATTTTATACAGAACTGTACTGTTTATTATACACACAGGTGTATCAGTTCCCTTTGTTTAGGAAGGCTGGTTGGAGACAATATGGAATGTTACAGTACCATCTTGCATAAAATTTTAGTACAATTTTGCACTGAAAAAGGGTGCAAAAATACCAGCCTAATAAATCAGAATTGAAATCTCTTTTCTTTCATTTTAAAAAGTACATCATTAACACATACACCACAAACTGTACATAAGCTCACTTCTGAATCACCAGTTAAAGATACAGCAGCGGCTACGCCGTGGTAGAACTCTCCCTCCCACCAGTGTAACTCATCAAGGACTCGCAGGGCTACTCATTCAGAAGCCTTTGCTGCTGTGCAAACTTATAAATATGAAGTCCTGAACCCAGGTCATGACAACTGACAGGTGGCAACAGCTGCCAAGACTGTTTTGTGGTAGGAAACGTCCTTCTCACAGCAGACGCGGGAGCATTCTTGAGGGGGTCCCGTAGCTCTCTCCCTTCAAATATTCAAAGGCAGCTCGTCAGGATTCTCCATTTTGGACTTTGGACGCTGGCGGATGCATGAAATCCTTGAAGGGAACCAGCGCCTCTTTCAGCGCCGAGCAGACTTCCGAGGACGAGCAGCTGATGCACTCCACTAAAGTTGGGTATAAGGCAATCACCTGTGCCCAGGTGTTCCCGTCAACTGCAAGGTAAGAAGCAGAAAAGAATCTCAAACTAGGATGGGTCTGAAGAGTAGGACTCCCCAGTTAACACACATCATCAACGTTACATGCAGTGGAAGGAAAAGACTGAGCGCGCAGGCTGTACCAGCTGGTGTATTTTCTCTTAAAAAAATCTTCGCAAGATTTCCTGCTCTATTTTCTAAAACACGGGAAAAAACATATAGTTATTGTGTATAGTTCTCAATACCAACCAGTTTCATAAGGGACATTTTAAATGGTAATTTGTGAAAGCGTTGGAAGCTCATAAAGTAACTTCGAATAACCTAACACTTTGCTGTTTTCAGTGCAGACTCCAGGGACTATAGCGTACATTTCAAGAACAATTAGAGAACATTTTTTTTGTTCAGTTGTCTACTAAAAACACAAAAGCTCGTATTTCAAGTAATATCCTTGATACTAATTTCAATTTCAAATCACCAAGCGCAGATCTAGTTACGGTCACGCCTTGGCCCTCATCCGCTTTGAAACCCGTCACCTGGCGCGCAGTGCCTCTTGGTGTGAAGACTTCGTTCCAGTACTCGTTTGTTTGGGGTTAGCAGCCCAAGCCAGAGAGCTTGTCAGCGTCAGCTGCCCCACGCCGCCCCGTCCACAGCCCAGTGGCTTCGTGAAGAAGTCACTGAATTTTCCTCCCTTTCTGTACTCATCAAGTCTGCCAGAACCACTGAAAGGCAAATGCCAAGGGATCACTGCCTTCTCTTACTCTGTTTGCTAGCCTTTAACGGAATCACCAGATGCAGACGCTGGTGAGGAAGGACCACGCCTGCCTTTCTCACCATCACCACGACCGACCGGGACCGCTGAAGGTTACGTGCTGACTGGGCAGAAGTGTTACATCCCGGTCAGTTAATAATCTGCTCCCACCGAGAGATCACACAACACATTTCTGTTTTCTGAGCACTCACACGGTGAAACGTCGTCTGAGCACTCACGTAATGATTTTACGGCACTGTGGGGAACAAGTCTCCAATCTGGGCGGCAGTATAGTAGAAAAGAAAGAAGAAAATGTGCAGAGTTTTGATTCCGTTTTTCACCCTAACTTACTGGTTGCCAACCACACCAAGTTCCTTCTGAGATTAGGGCGAGCTGGCCAAGTCATTCGCTTCCCTTCATCGCGGCTTCTGCTGTACAATACAGGACTGAGTTTCCCAAACTAGAACTTTTTTATTTACTTATTTTTAAAAAGTTCCTGGTCCAGTAAGTGTGGCAGAAGTTACATATCTCTCTCCTTTTGAGGGCTAATAATTCACATGAATTTATTGAGGGCTTACAGTATAAGATCAGATTTAAATTTATCAAATCCAGGATTTCTAAAATTAATATGATTACAGAACTTTTCCACCCAATATCTAACATCACATAATTCATGTTTACTACTTACTATATATCTTAGAAAATCATAACCTGTTCATGAAACTTTTCTCAGATACTTCCTCAGAGCAACTCTTAAGTCTTAAACAACACTGGTCTAGGAAGTTTAAATACTCTGCCCCAGCTGTCTTGTTCTTATTTACTTGTTTGTTTGTTTTCTGCTTTCTGAGACAGGGTCTCACTGTGTAGTTTGTAGTTCACGCTGGCCTTGAACTCACGCGATCCTCCTTCCTGCCTCAGCCTCCGAGGCTGGGATCACAGGCCTGTGTCACCACACTGGGTGCTCCAGCTATCTTCTGTGAAGCTCTTCGTGAATCCTTTCACACAGGATTATCCAGAGTGAAACTGCTTTACAATGCCTACATGGAGAATTAACTGACAAACCCATTTTTCGTTTCTTATAGGAAAATACATAAGTACATGAAGATGACATCTGAAATAAAACTCATGGGAAACTTTTAAATTCCTTACATCAAAATATTTTGTAAAAGTCTACCATAAATTTCTGTGGGGGGTTTATATCTGACTGTCAGAAAGATGAAAGAGCTGAATGTACTGATAGTGAAGTACTTCCGTGAATTCCACTGAGTGAAAAAACAAGAGGTTCAAAACAGTGCGTATGATGTAGGGCCATTACGTACATCTGCACACGACACTGAAGGTACTGGGACATGTATTTCAGGGTTACACAATCAACTTCTGCAGGGAAGCGGAATTAATAAAAATGGCGCCTGTGGGGAGGCAAGCACTGCGCAGACACTGAACAGGGCAAAGACTCTCTTCAGACTTTTTCCTATAAAACTATTTATTTCATTTCTTTGTGTACTGGGGACTGAACCTTTACCCCAGTCCTTCCTCTGTCTCTGTTCCCACTAAAAAACTTTAGAACTTTAATAAAAGTTCTAAGTAGATTGGAGTGTACTGGCCCTAAATCTTAAATCTAAATCTACTCTCCCAAACTAGACTGGATATGCACAGTATGACGTATTTCTGTTCAGGCCTGGTTTTCCAGCCTTTTCTTCTTTCTTAATGAAGCTTACTGTGCCTTTCTAATATAATGTGATCATCACTGTCAGTTATTTCATTTAAATTTTCACTTCTTATGATCACAGGCATAATTCTAACTCTCTCTCACAGTTTTTAAGGTTAATTTAGTTAGATCGTCCATCATTACTACACTGCCCGCTCCACAGCCCAGTGCCTTTGTAAAGAAGTTACTGAACTTTTCTCCCTTTTCCTCCCTTTAATATGTTTATGTTTCAGTTCCTGACAGCTGTCTAAAGATTACATAAAATAAGGCAAATATTATGCATGTAAATATACTGGTTATATTCAGCACATCTCTGACAATAATAAAGAAAAAAATAATAAATATAGCTTCAAGCATTTAACATTGGAATAGCATAAAGAAGTTCCTGGTCTCTAGGAAATCAATGCATGGCTTTCCTTCACTGAAAAAGTAATTAAAATGTTAAAAAAAATCTTTTTTCTGAGGAGTGGATGAATTCAGGATATTGCTCTAGGTGTTTTCTTAAAAATTTTACCTCACCCTCCTCTTTTCCAGTCTTTTGGTTAAAGAAATAAAAGTGGAATGCCCCTTAAGATTTAGTATAATAAAAGGCTGGGTATGATGGTGCATGACCGTAATCCAGCATTTGGGAGGCTGAGGCAGGAGGATTGCTATGAGTTCGAGGGCAGCCTGGGCTACAAAGTGAGTTCGAGGCCAGCCTGAACTGCATAGTGAAACCCTGTCTCAAAAAGACAAAACAAAACAAAACAAAATCAACAACCCACCAAAATCCCAAAACACAAGATTTAATATAATATCCTTTTTGAGTCAAAGAACCAATGAGTGAATTTTGACAGGAATTCATATCCTGCCATTAAGTTATTATTTCAATTACTGAACATTCCCTTTATTTAGGGTATTAGAAGTTCAGCAGTAGTGTGTGTCCAGCACACACGAGGCCCTGTGTGGGTTTGAATCCTTGCACCACAAAAAAGTAAACAAAACAAAACAGAATAATAACCAATAATGCTGCTTATAGTGTTAGTCTGCTAAAAAGTAAGCTCACGCCAGAACGTAAATCAACACACTACCGTCCTCTTTAACATAGTCTTGTGTTAAAAAAAAAAAAGCTGAATTAAAGAGTGTATTTGGTAACACAACTGATTTATCTTCTCATACCAACTATTTGTCTTAGGCCCCTGACAAACTCTTAAAACCAATAGCTGGTCCAACAAACCACACTATGAGAAGCAACGCTGTAGCGAACTCAAAGTAGTACAAACACTGTCCAAGAAGGCTCTCAAATGCTGACAAGGTCAGGGGAAGGGAATCATGTACACGTCTAACTGCAGTGAAAAACACAGACTTCAAACAAAGGTACATATGAAAGAGGATTAACAAGGTTCACAAGAGGGCGGTATCTGAACTGGGTGGACACGGCAGTAGAACAGAGTGCGTGGAAGGCTGGGAACACTTAGGAAGTTTGAGAATGCTAATCTAGTGGGACAGGTAGAGCAAATGAAATCAAGCAGGAAATACAGCACGAACAGAATGGAGTCAGACCGCAGGACTGCAGCACCCAGCCATCCGGGGGGAAATGGCCAATGAAAACGACTTTTTAATTGTGTTTGGAGGGAACAGGGAAATGAATGATCCAAGTCATGCAGCGGAAAGATCATTTCTGAACATAGGGTGAAGAATGGATGCAGTAGAAATGATCAAGAGAAAGGGAAAACAAATGAAAAGGAACTATGAAAAGGACTCCAAGGTATTTGTACAGCTTACATTTACAATGTAAATCGGTAAAAGCAGATGAAAGCCTTCCCACCTATTCCAGAAAGTGAGTGATCTTCCTCATTAGAAATAATGCAACATGAACTGCCCATGCGACAGCCTGGGTGCAGACCAATTTTGTTTTTTCATAAGTCATCTAAAGTGCCGTTTCGTTTACCTAGTAGACATCCTAATGGAGTTGATGCTCTGCCGTCATGAGAACTGCAGAAAAGAAAGCCCAAGGGCTTTTACGTTCCTAAAATTCAGCTAAATTAACAGTAGCACAAAAACACACTATGGGTGACTACTTTTAAGATTATGATATACTATATTAACTACTGTTATTCTCTTCATTGCTAGGAATTTTTTTCTTTTTAAGATTTACTTTTTTTTTTTTTTTTTTAAAGA